GCGCACAAGTCGGGTAAGGTGAGCAATCCTCCAGAGGATATCACAAGCCAGACGTGAGTGGGGCAGTGGCAGGGGCCGGCACAGCACAGGTCCCCTTCCCCCAGGCTGCACAGGCCTTCCTGGGTCCACCAACAAGCGCAGGAAGCCCCAATATGGCATCCACGCCATTTGCCCTTGCGTTTTTTAACCTGGCTTCAGTGGAATGGTATTTACAGGCATGGAGATCAGCCTGGATGCCCCCTTTCAGCCTATCCTCCCACCATTGGGGCTCCCCAGGATCCAGCCACCCAGGGCAAGAGATAGCACAGGACTGGGGTTGGGGCAGGAGCAGGCAGCTGAGGAATGATCCCAGAGACACCGGGAGTGCAGAGGGAGTTCTCCCTCCTCCAGATCTTCTTCGGAAGGCAAGCCTCCCTCAAGCAAAAGCGCTCTAGGAAAAGCAGGCACTACTGCCAAGCAGTAGGTGTAGCTGAAGGAGAGGATAGATCCTCAGCCATCACTGTAGGGTGATCAATCTGTGCCTCTCACAAATGAAGGCACCAGACCCCAAGCTAAGGGGACTCGGGCTCTGAATCTGAGGTTGAGGAGTGCCACTCAGCAAAGATTTCTATAGCACCCAGCTCAGAGGACTCTGATACTCAGGGCAGTCCTGCAGGGCCTCTCAAATGTGTAAGCAGATTGGCTGAGTTGAAGGGACTTGGACCCAGGAAAATGGGCACTAAACCACAACATCTTATGGAAATCTCTGCCCAATTCAGGATCCTAATAATGGACCCGCTAGCACCGTGGCACAACCACCAGGTCCCCAGGTTCCTGGAACCACAAGCAGAGGCCAAGGATGTGTTATTACACCAGTGGCCAGAAGGCTTACTATATGCCTTTTCCCCCAACCCCCATGATCAGCAAGGTGCTGAACAAAGTGCGAAGAGTGAAGGCAGAGGTGATTTTCATTGCCCCCTTTTGGCCAAGATGTCCATGGTTCTTGGAGCTGGTCAACATGTCCGTGGACACCCCATGGTGTCTCCCAGTCAGGGCAGACCTTCTGTTGCAGGGACCTGTACTGCACCCGGACCCAGCCTGACTCCAGCTGATGGCATGGAAGTTGAGCAGTGGGAACTAGAAAAGTCTGGCTTACCTAAGGAAGTGGTGGATGTCATGGTGCAGGCAAGGAGGCCAGCAACCAGGTGAATTTATAACTATACTTGATCTGCGCTCAGGAAGTGGGCCAGCAACCAAAGCACAGATCCTTTAAAGCTGTCTTACAAGGATATTCTCTTCTTGCACCAAGGTTGGAAGCAAGGACTGAAACCAAATATGCTGAAAGATAAGTAGCTGCTATGGTGGCAGTCCTGGAATGCATAAGTACATTACGAGATTCCTTAAGAGAATGGTATAGCTAACACCCCCGGTGAGACATAGATTCCCCACCTGGAGTCTAACTAAAGTCTTACAAGCACTCACCAGAGCACCATTTGAGCCACTAAAATCCACGGAGCTTTCTATTGTGGAAGGTTGCCTTTCTAGTGGCTGTGACCTCCACAAGGAGAATTTCAGAACTGGGGGCTTTGGGAGAAGAGTGCTACAGCAAGTAGGGGATGAGACTGGAGTAAGGAATGTCTTGGCTAATACATCCCGCCCCGTCAGTTAGTTTTGGCATATAACCAGCTTGGATGACTTCTCCCACTGAAGAAGAATGAAACATTGAATTTAGCTGAAGGTTTCTTCAGTTGGACAAAGTCATCCACTCCCCCCCCCCAGAAAGTAGAAAGGGAGTGGGAGGTAGAAGTATTCTACAACTATTGATAGAACTAGGCTATGGGATGACTGGAGAGGTGGTCTCGCTCTGTCTCAGGTCAATCGCACAAAGATTTGCGTAGCTCTGCCTGGAACAAGAAGAGGTGGGACTAACCAGTTTGGATGACTTCGCCCCACTGAAGTGAAGAAACCTTCAGGTGAGTCCAATGTTTCATTACACCACTGGCCATATAAAATATTATGCATTGTTAGTATACTACTGCAGTACAAGTGAACGTTGTTTTTATCAGTGAGCTGAAAGCAATTCTTTGTAAAGTAGAGCAACTTCATGTCATGTAATCTCTAAATTTGCTCTGGATTATAGCTAATTGTGTCCTTTTAACAATATATTTTAAATACCTCAAACCTATGGGGAAGCCCCTGTAATTTGATTCCCTCCCCCCAGGGGGGCAATACTTGATAGTTAGAGAATGTGACATTTACAAAGGAAGAAAATGGGGAAGAAATTTAGGTTGTCAAAGTCTTCAAGCGCTTTAAGAAATACCAGCTAAAAATGTTCAGTGATATACAAGGCTCTGCCTGTTATAGATCAGCATTTAATAGTTCAACAGGCTGCTTTTTTCTCATAGTTCAAGAATAGGTAACTTATCTGTAGTGTCATAAAAATGTATAATGACTTAGTGAACATTGATTGTCAACCCCTTCACTTAAGGTATTATACCCTGAACATTATAGCACAGGAGATAGTCACAATAGCACAATCATTATCTAATATTTTATATTCTAATAGCAAAGTTGGGAAATCTTTGGCTACTTAAATCCGGTGACTAGATCTGTGAACGAGCAAGACAGTTCTTTCTACAAACCTGAAAAGGGCCCCAGGTTTGCAGAAAAATGTGAAATCTAAACAAAATACATTGGGGGCTTTAAAAATCTGAAAATGATCAAAGGGGAGTGCCTGTAGCTTTAATCCAGGGAGTCCCTCAGTGGCTGTTGTTTGGCTACAACAGTATTCCAGGCTAGGTTTCAGTGAGTAAAAGGTAGGGGAAGGGGCAGGGCTCTTTCCAAGCCTATTTTGGCCTTTGAGGGAGGACTCATTAGGGCCAGGCCTGACTAGTGTAGCTAGCTCTAGGTTGGGAAATTCCTGGAGATTTGGGGGGTGGAGCCTGGGGAGGCCAGGGTTTGGGGAGGGGAGAGGCCTCAGCCAGGTATAATGCCATAAAGTCCACCCTCCCAAACAGCCATTTTGTTCAGTTGTAATTCTGGGAGATCTCCAGGTCCCTAGGTTGGCTTAGTAACCTCTGAGTGACTTGATACCACTTGATATGCATGACTGAACTAGGCCTGGCTGCTTGCTACTGTTCAATAGCAGACACTCTATGAACTCCAGTGTGGTATAACGGTTAGAGCTTTAGAGCAGGGTCTGAGAGACCCAAGTCTGAATCCCCATCTTGCTGCAGAAGCTCACTGGGTGGTTTTGGTCACATACTTCCAGCCTGATCTACCTCACAGGGTTGTTGGGAGATTAAAAAGGAGGAGCAGAGAATAATGTATGCTGATTTGCTCTCCACTGTGGAGAAAGGCAGGGTATAAATGAAGTAAATAATTAAAAAATAGCTGAAGATGAGAGGCAAATAAAATATAGGTTGGTGAATGGATGAGAAGAGAATGGGGCAGGGAACTGTGGCACATTTACTGGGCCACAGTTTACCTTGGTAGAGGCTTTGGGGGTGGATCTTAAGACAGAGAGGCAGATAAAGTTAGGTGGACTGGGCCAGGAAGATGATAGGGTTGCCAACTCCAGGTCAGGAAATTTCTGGAGATTTGGGTGTGGGGCCTGGTGAGGGTGGGGTTTGAGGAGGGAAGGGATGCCATCCTCCAAAGCAGCCATTTCTTCCAAGAAAACTAGGGTTGCCAGCCTCCAGGTGGGGGCTGGAGATCACCCAGAATTACAACTGCTCTCCAGATGACAGATTGGTTCCCCTGGAGAAAACGGCTGTTTTGGAAGGTGGACTCCTTGGCATTATACCCTGCTGAGGTTGCTGGAGGGTTGCCAGGTCCTATTTTCTCCCCGACGGGAATATTTGGAGAGTGTGCCAGGAGGGAACAGGGCTGTCCCTTGATGTGATGATGTCACAGAGTGACATCATCACAGGGACACAGCGCCGTGTGCGCACGCCCCTCCCACTTTCCCCCAACCATTTAAAAGGGAACCTTTATCAACGTGACCCTATCTTTGGATACTTAAACCTGGAGATTGGAGCCATAGATAGACAAGATGGATCTTTCTACAAACCTGAGGGAAGTTCAGGGTTTGCAAAAAAATAATAATTGAAATCTACACATATTTTAGGCAGTTCAAACCCTCCAAAATGATAGAAGCAGCACCTGTAGCTTTAAGAAATGAATGCCCTCAGCCTGTTGCTAGCATTGCCAGCTTTCCAGCCTTGGCTTCGGTCAATAAAATGCAGGGGAGAGGTTCTATTCCAGGCCTGTTTGGGCCTTTAAAGGAAAACTCATTGGAGGCAAGTCCACCAACAACCACCAGGAGACTTGCTACCATGTGAATTGCGTGACTCACCCAGGCATGGCTACTTGCTATAGTACAACAGCAGCCATCCCACAGCAGCCAATCTGGTGTAGTGGTTAGATTTTCAGATTAGGTTGTGGGAGACCCAAGTTTGAAGCCACGCTCTGCTGTGGAAATTCACTGGGTGACTGTAGGCCAGTCACACACACTCAGACTAACCTACCTCACTGGGTGGTTGTGAGAATAAAATAGAGGAGAGGAGAATGATGATGTAATTTGCTTTTGTTCCCCACTGGAACAAAGTGAATTATGTAAATAAATATATCTGAAGAGGGAAAGCTAAAATGTAGGTTGTTGGTGGGTGGGAAGGAGAGAGGAAAACAAAAAAGGTGAGGTTATGGGGGCTTCCAGGAAAAGAGAAAATGGAAACAGTATGGGAAGGGGGGCATAGAGGAAAAGTGAAGTACCCCCTACTTGAAGGTGCCTCACCATGCAACTGGGTCCAGCCTGGCCAGCATTATGGAACTTTGCCCAGCTCTGCCACTAGCACTCTACAACTGGGGGCTAGGCTGGTTGGCTGGTGGGTTGGAAGAAGAGAAGGAAGCAGGAAAAGGGAGAGGCTATGGGGGCTTTCAAGAAAGGGAAAGAAAGAAGTGGGGGAAAGGAAAATGTAAGTCTTTGCAGGGAACCCATTGGTCTAATGCCATGCAAAGAATAAAGCATCTTCTACATTTGGTGCCCTAGAATCACTTTATTAATCTTGGTTGATCCTGTAGATAGTATGGCCCTCTCTATTTTACTGTAAGCTTGCTGGCAGGGCCAGCATCTTGTGGTCTGACCTCTGAAAGATACCCAGTTTTACCTTTCTTGACATCCTGGTGTTTGTATGTTGTGTGTTATTGTAATCTGCTATTTGTCTGTTTACACCATGAGGGTTTTCTCCCTTCCCTCCTTGCATATTTTAGCAACTGAAGTTATCTAGTAGTGATGGTGTGATTGGCTGTCAAACTGTGTAGGTGTTAAAAAGACTGAACAACCCTGGAAACTTCCATAGGATATAGAATTTCAAGAGCTCTTCAGTTATGGGGGAGTATGGGGGGGGGAATTGTGTGTGCATCCACATTGATATGAAGGCAATGCTTAGAAACTGAAAACTATATAATTGGTCTGAGAGGTAAGATATGATGGCAGAATAATTTTGGATTCTTACTACAAATCAGCTTCCAAGAATATACTTGTTTGGGTTCCTATAGCATCTCATAGATCATTGGTACTTGATCCTTGCACTTAAAAGCCAGTCTTAGACAAATGTGTCATCAGTGGCTACAATAAATTAGATGCCAGTCCTTGGAGCTCCATGTCAAATTGTGATGAATTGTGGCATATTTATGCAAGGCTGTTTTAAACTGAGCAGTCATGTATGTTGGTTAAAGGAATGTTTTTTTAAAAACTAACCTGCATATCTTAACCCTTTACATTCCCCCCCCTGGAAATACAAAGGTCTCCATGCAGAATTAGGCATGCTTAAAATGACTGAAGTTATCAGAATGTGGCCTCTGAATGGCTGAGAGGCACTCAGGAGTTACTGGATTAGCACCATGATGCAATGATAATTCGTTTTACCTGAGTCCCAATATCCAGTCCTAGCCCTGTGGAATCTACCACCATAACTGTCAGAAGAGTCTGAATTAGCAGGGCAACAAAGTTGTTGAATCCAAACATTAAAGCATAGCGTTCCATGCTGAGACTGACAGCAATCTGAAATCTAAAATTAAACTGTATGTTACAATATCATCAGTAACATTTTACAGTAATAGTTTCACTTTTCCTTGGACAACAAAGGGATTGTAAAAGGCTATTAGGTGCATGGGGAGAAAGAGTGCCCCTCGTCTAACACTGGTGGAGGTTTACTCTGACACAAGCAGGATTCTATAAAAAGAGCAAAAAAAGCTGTGGAATGAGACGCTAAGCCAATATTGTAATCAATATACTAAGAAATTTCAAATATATATTGTAAAGCAAAATCCAAAAAGTATGGCAATACAATGCAAACAATCACTGGCAAGGAATCTCCAGTGTGCGATCTGAGCCTTCCTTCAATAATTTGTGCCCTGACTCAAGCAATCTGAAGTGGGAAGCCTGAAGGCCCAACTAGATGAGATGGCCAGCCCTAGGAGGGACACACCACCATTTTATAGCAGTGAGTTCCCACCAGGAAACTCCTTTTAACTGCACCACTGGGGCCTGATTTTGGTCAGGACCACTGTGGTACAGGGGGAGGAGGTAGTGGTGCCTCACTACCACCATTTTACTAACTAGAAACTGTCCAATGAATAATGCTGTCTCCTCCCTTGCAGCACAGAGGCCCCAACCAGAATTAAGCTCCTGTGGCACTGTTAAAAGGTGTTTCATTGTGAGAACTCACTGCTATAGCATGGCCTTATGCAATCTCATCTAGTTTGGCCCTAAGTTCCCTTTTCATTGCTATCTGCCCTCTCTCAGGTGGCAAAGCAGCTCCTATAGCTGCTGGCCAGATCTGAATGAGCAGGTTCTGATGAAGTAACCTTTGACTTATGAAAGCTCTTACTTAAAAAATTGGTAGTATTTAAGGTGCCACTGGAATTTTGTTCTACGGAAAAAAGACGGGTGCTTCTCCTGCTCTTCCCTTGTAGAGCCCAGTGAGCATTTTGCTTGTCAGCAGTGCTGTGAGCTCTGGCCATCTTCTAAATCAGGGGTCTCCACCATAGTGCCTTTGGCCACCATGATGCCGACCAAGTGTTTTTAGCAAGTGGGGTGGGGCCAGGTAGGGCTTTTGCCCAGCAAGGCTTCTGGTTTACTATGGGAAATTTGATTGGCTGTGCAATTTTTTTAGTATGTTGATTTGGCAGCAGCTGCCACCATAGCACAAGATCTGTACTGTGTTACTGAAGGTAAGCTGTGGCAATCATTTTGTGGCTGGCTCCACCTCCTGTGGCAGCCATTTTGTTGCTGCACCCACCACGCTGCGTCAAAATTCCAAATGTGTCCGCTGGCTCAAAAAGGTTGGGGACCCTTGTTCTAAATCCTCACACATTTGTAAGGTGTGTTGCTTAGTCTTCAGGGGTGACACTATTGGTGTCTTCATGGTCTTTGGGTTGGGGGGCTTTGAATTTGGTGGCTCTGTTCAGCCCTGTCCTAGAATAAGACGATGGAAGAAAAAAGGTGGGAGGTGCACTCTTTAGACATTGAGATAACTTCATCATTAACATAGGCTCAGTATAAAACTTACAGCTTTCTTTTTTCAACATAACCTAAGCTTAATGATTATATTACAGTTGTGGAGATGTAGGAGTTCTGGGTATGAGGTTTGGTCAGCATATGCAGCTGAACTGCAGTGGTGGAATGGGGCATACCACTGTGGAACACTAACCCATAAAACAAAGCTTCTTGTGAGTAGTAAACATCAAGTGAGCTTTCTGTGTCGTCTCTCGGTAGCTCTTCCACATCACAGGTTGTCTCCCTGAACTCCCCCCCCCTTTTTTTTTTGCATTGATGCCATGTGTCTAACGGTTCCTTGAGAAATGACCCGAACTGAGAGTTAAGTAATGGGCACGAATGGCCTACATCTACTTACGTTGCAATGGTTATCAGTAGCATGTAACACGCCTTGAAAACTACATAGGCAGCATAGCAGGCCCAGATGTTCCCGGTAAAATGCATCAAGAAGAGTGAACCAGCATCTAGTGCAGAGAAGATTCCCAGTGCCAGTTCCCCTGTTAGATCCCAGTTCAATTTTACATATCCCACAGCCAGCGATGTTATTGAACCTGGAAATACAGAGGCATTGAATACTAGTCACACTCTGCAGAGTGATGAAATAAATTAAGAAAAATGTAACATATTTTAAAAGCACAATGTTCCTTTGGATAAGATGGAGATACTTATACAATAATAATTCCAAAAGAGTAACTGAGGTATTGCAAACCCCCAAACTAGCAAACTTTAATGGGCGTGAGCTTTCAGCCTGTCTTTTCACACGTACAGCTTCACAGTATGAGTATCTAACTTTCTAATGTATGGAACCATGGGCCTGAAAGTGGGTCACCATATAAAGCTGCCTTATACTGAATCTGACCTTTGGTCCATCAAGGTCAGTACGGTCAGGTTGGCAGTAGCTCTCTGAGATCTCAGATAGAGGTCTTTCAAATCACCTATTGCCTGGTCCTTTTTAGCTGGAGATGCTGGGGATTGAACCTAAGACCTTATGCATGATATGCAGAGGCTCTTCCACTGAGCCACCACTTCCAGGTGGAACAGTGGGTTAATGGTGTTCACAATATCAGTTTTCATTATTAAGGTATTCTGAAATTATATTTTTAAAAATTCCAAGCATTCAAAGAGGCCAATAAACATAATTAAAGAGTTTATGCAAACAATGAATGATAAAATCAGCATGACAAGCCTACAAGTACAGCTGTCAGCTCACCAGTTGGTCAGCCAAACAGGGTTCAAAATAAGGTCCTTACAAAAGGTAAACAACTAACAGTGCAATCCTAAGGACTTTCCTGGGACTAAGCCCTGATGAATAACATGGAACTTCCTTCTGAGTAGACCTGCCTATGATTTCCCCCCAAGAGTACCTGCTAACTTCTACCAGTAACTCCTTCCAAACTCTAGAAGCCACAGCAGAAAAGGCCCTGCTCATAACCATCGATGCTCTAATCTCTCAAGCAACATTTAAAGACTGCAGCTGGTTTGTGGGCTGAAAACAGGGAAAAGTGATTTCTTTGGCATGTGGATCTCAGGTTGTGAAATCTTTTATGAGTCAAAGCCCAGCATTTTAATTTTGAGATAGAATCATAGGTAGCTAGCGCACCAGTAGAACAGGTCTTATTTGCCAGCATTTGTCAATAGGAACACAGTGGTATTCTGCACAGCTGTAGCAGTATACTGCTCTTCAAAAATTGTCCATTAAGCCTTTTAATTATTTATTTTCTCTACTGTCTGTGCAAGAAAACACCAGATAAATGGTTTTGTGGTTCCACCCACATACCCAAATAGCAAAATTCCTTTAAATTTCTTTCCAGCTTCATTCTCTTAGGTGCCATTTCATAGATAAATGAATTATACAGTCAGTTGACATTGGTGAGTAAAAATAACATACTTAATCAGAATATGTGTCAGGCTCTGGTCTGAAGGAAATCAGAAGGCTTATTATATTTTGGTTGTATAACATTTTTATCCTTCTCTATGCTGCACAGGCAGAAACAAAGTTTGACTAGCAAACATACATGCTGGATCTAAAATGTTAAGCTTACTCAGAAATGTTGCTATTGCTTCCACGGCTCCATTATAAACTGCAGAACTATGGGAAGGTGCTTTATCATCCCATAACACTTGAACGTAATTCAAGATCTGGTTAAAGCCTGCAGTGGCTAAAGCCCACCATATTGACCAATAAAGAAGTTTCTTTGTAGTGTAGCATTCCTTCAAGTCCTTGCACAGCTGCACAAGCACTGCCAGAAAGTGTTTTGGGTCTTGGTTTTTGAACAGTTGGTGAGTTTTCTGAGAATTTTCAGATGATCGCCTAACATCTTTGCCCTGCTGGTAATTTGGCTGGTTGGATGTATCTGATGGATTCTTATCTGTTGGCCCAATGGATACTTCTGGGGAAGACTTTTTATGAAAGAACATACTTTTTTGTGGCATTGGAAGAAAGCATGAAGATATAAATGCCATGGAGACAGAAGCCAATGATATGGCATTCAGATAAAAATAAGACACGTGGGCTAAAGAGACTAAAAGTTGCCCCAGCAAGGAAGCTGCTGTGGTTGATACCAAAGTGATACTTCTGCAATAACTTGTCACCTTCTGGTAATGGTCAACACTGACAACGCTGTATATGTAGGCATAGTAGGCCACCTCTGTAGCAGTCACCATTCCATAGGTAAACTCCACCAGCTGCATGGCCTGCACACCATGTGCAAATAAAAGCAACAGCCAAGTAATAATTAAGCTAATTCCCTGGATGATAATGACAGGCTTATAGCGTACGTAGTCTGTAAGCAGGAACACAGGCAGCAGCAGAGCCAAGTAGGAGTATGTCCAAACTGGGAAAACTTTCTGTGTTACCTGGAAGGGAAAAGGAAAAGGGAAAATCCTGTAACACAAACGGTGCAGTCCTATGAAGAGTGATTCCAGTCTAGGCCCCTTGAAGTCATTACACTTAGACTGGAGTAACTCTGCATAGGATTGCACTGCAAGAGACTGAAAATATATAATGGACAAACATAAGGATATATTTATTTAGTTTATTTGTTCAGAACATTAATCAGCTGCCTTTCTTCCCTGAGGAATTCAAGGCAGCTTACAGCATAGGTAAAACATCTATAAAATACATTAAAAGCATGAAAGCCAAGATTTAAAATCACAGTTTAGGACTGCTAATAAGATTAGCCAAATGCAGTCCTAAACAGAACACTCTTCAACTTCCTCCTAAAGACCAAAAGTGAAGGGGCCAGCCACACCTTCTTGTGCAGGTTGTTCCATGACGTTACGAAATTCTTAAGTATCATATAAATTGGCACTCCTTGGGGAAGGCCTTAGGGGCGTTCTACAGCGACCTAGGCTAATATCCTTCTGTGCTAGTGGCAGCTGCTAACCCCCCTCCCCCCAATTGATAAAGATGACTGGTGGATCAGATCAGTGATCCATCTAGTCTACCATCCTGTTTCACATAGTGGGCAACCAACCTATCACCGCAGAAGGCCTACAAACAGGGCATCTGTCTTCGATAAAGACAACTAAATTACAGCCCTTGAGATCATTTCTGTCTTAAGCCAATTCCAAAATGATATTAGCAATATGAAAGATTTTTTAAAAAAAACTCTCATGGGAAGGATTCCATGTGAACGGTCACAACGGCTACTGAGTTTCTTAAAGCTACAGGCTCTGCTTCTGTTATTGGCAAGGGGGTTAATCCCCAGTCAGGCCTGTAGCCACGAGGGGGATGACAAAGGCAATGTCTCCTCCTAAATGTGCCCTGCCTCCTCAGCTGTGCCTTTTTGTTTCTCTTCCCCCCCACCCCGCTTCCCAGTGAGGTGTGAGTCAAGCTGGAGCCTTGTGAGGCGGGGGGGGGGGGGGAAAGCAGAGGAAGTGGACACAGGTGCAGCCACCATGGAGGGACAAAGCCTGGCTGACATTCACACACGCCGTGGCTGGAGCAAGGGCGTGAGTGCCCCTGGAGAGACTGCTGCCATGATGGAGCCCTTCTTCGCTGAGGTGAGCAGGGAAGGGGGGCCTGAGCTGGCTTCCTTGAGAGTCAGCCCCCGGCAGAGGGCAAGGTGCCTGCCGTGGAGCACACGCCACACGGGAGTTGCCTCTTGGATGCTCAGCACCTCTGCACACGTGGGGACGGGATCCCCCCTTCTCCTCTATCTACTACCAAATGAGGTAGGTGGCCACTGGGAGATAGGGGTATTTGTTTTTAAACAAAATGGATTATCGTTTAACCTTCTGTATAGACTGATCCCTTGTAGAGACCTTGCACTACATCATAGCTCATTCATAAATAAATAAATAAATAAATAAATGATGATGTGCTCACTACCACTGTACTCATTTCCCCCCCCCCCCCAATAAAATTTTTCTGGCTAGGGGTCAGTCCCCAATGTACTTTTTTCCGATTTTTTTTTTGCAAACCTAGGGTCTTTTCTGGTTAGTAGAAAGTTCATGGCTTCATTCTCTGGATTTAAGTATCCACAGACCTGGTCACTCACTTCCATCCAGCCAGGGAAAACTTAGGTTGGTCCTGTATCTGATGACTATTTTAACTGGCCCAGATTGAAAAAAGTTGTTAAAAACAATAAATCTGGAGTATATACCCTAAAACTCCCCCAAATAAAAAACAATACAAAGCTTTTCAAAACAAATCACTGTGCAATCATGCTTGTATTCATGTGAGGTGAATGAATATACTGTTCATAGTTTTAGTGTCCCCCTCCAGAACTGAATTTAATTTAGTCAATTCTGTATTATGTGTTCACAATGGAATGGAGGATCTATAAGTGTGGTGTGTATGGACTGACTTGGTGTCTCTGGGACTTCACACTGTTAGTTCAGTAGCAGTAATTTCCCCCTTACCCCAGTTAGAAAGGTAGAGGGCTAAAAGTACCCTGTTCTTGTGTTTGGGAACTCAGAATCATAATTCACTCCCATCCCACATCAGCTTTGAAGTAGTTCCTTAACAGCAGGATTGCAAAAGAACTGTGCCTGCAGCTAATGGCTTGTGTCCTGAAAAGGTGATTTCCCAACAACAAAGAGTGCTTGCGGAGGCTGGGGCCCTGTTGTCAGAGCAAATTAGTGATGCAATCCAGGAAAACACAGTCTGGAAAAACCCAAAGCTAATGTACATCCCAGTGCAGGTAAAGAGTTTCACTGTACCTCCTCAATGGTCAGATTTTTATCAGGTCCTGTTAGATATGGTGTGAGGAAAGGCTCCGATGGTCTCATCATGACGAAGAAGCCATACATGCACAGGATCAAGGTGGGAAAAATCCAACCACTGCTTTGTATTTTCCTCCAACAACCCATGATTCTTCTAGCTAAAACAGAGAAAATATCATATGAACAAAGGGAAGTAAAGAAGCTTTGGGGGCAGGAGTCGTCTTGTACCCTGCTCAACGAACTACTTTGCAAGGAAATCTTTAAGTGAAGTATGGAGTGTAATGGACATCTCAAAAACTCTAGTTACTTTCAGAGGGTAGCTGTGTCGGTCTGCAGTAGAACGGCTAGATTCAAGCCCAGTAGCACCCTTAGAGGCCAATAACATTTTGAGGGTAGAAGTTTTTCAGAGGCAAAGCTCCCTTCATCAGATATCCGAAGAAGAGAACTTTGATTCTTGGAAGCTTATACCCCAAAAATCTTGGTGGTCTCTAAAGTGCTAATGGACTTGAATCTAGCCGTTCTAGTTATTTTGTGCTTGATTGGATTTTAATGGCGTATGAAAGGCTATCTGGAAAATCTATATTGGCAAAGTTTCCATTCCAGTTTAAAATTTAACGATATCCGATTGATGTGGCTGTATTATTGTCAAACAGATGATGGCTGCGGAATTTGGAACTTTGAAATCTTACCTGTCACTTGAGTTCACTGACCAGCCAGACCGTCAGTTCCTAACTGCATGGGTTTCCAGCAACATAAACAATTCCTTAAAACACCCTCTCTTGAAAGGAATCCCCGTTGTCATCAGTGGTGTCTACTTCTAAATAAGTGCACTCAGGGCTGTAACTGTTTTAAAAATTTGTTTCTGGGTAGCATTTTTAGGCAGGTGTGTAGTCAAGTTATTGGGGATCAGGGCTATAATTAATCTGTTATTAATTAGTGCAGTACAGCAAACAAATTAATCTGGATCTGTCATAAACTACCATTTCTGACTGTCCATTTTAAAAAGGCACAAGTAGAGTAAAGCGATGTCTGTACAACAGGGGTGCTCAACCTTTTTGTGCCAGAGGGCGCATTTGGAATTCTGACATGGCACAGTGGGCACAGCAAAAGAAAGGGGGGGGGGGAAGGATGCCACAAAATGGCTGCCCCAGGAGGCAGAGCCAACCCCAAAATGATTGCCACCGCTTAACTTCAGTAACACAGTGCAGATCCTTGTGTTTTGTTGGCAGCTGCTGCCAAAGCAACATTTTAAAAAATGCACAGCCAGCTTTGCTGGGCAGAATCCCTACGTGGCCCTGCCCACTTCCTTAAAACACTTGGTGGGCACCAGAACAGGTGTTGGCACCTACAGGCACCACATTGGGGACCCCTGCTGTACAAGAACCTTTCATCCTCCTATACTAGTTTATTTCTTGCAAGCATTTTTTTTTAATTTTGGGCAGCATTCAAAACTGGCACTCCCCCCCCCCCCCCAAATGCAGTCTGGAATTCATTCTGTCCCCTAAGGACTAGTTCCTTATTCCTATCATGTGTATACCAGTCTCTTTCAGATATTAATATGCAGAGTATTCCTGAAGCAGCCATCACTATGCTTTTGTTTGATGTTTGTCTTAAGAGTTTATAAAAGAAAATTAATGTCTGATATATATATATATATAAACAGATTAAATTTGAGCATAAAGGAATCTGACTTAAATGGCTACAGATTACGTTTTAACTCTTACTTGTTCTGCCTTCTAGGAAGCAGACTAATTGTCCATAAAGGGGATCATCCTAGGTTATTGAGTGGTGGTGGAAAGGGTCATCAAGTCGCAGCTGATTTATGGCGACCCCATAGGGTTTCCAAGGCAAGAGACGTTCAGAGGTGGTTTGCCATTGCATGCCTCCGTGTCATGACTCTACTATTCCTTGGAGGTCTCCCATCCAAGTACTAGCCAGGGCTGCTGCTGCTTAGCTTCCAAGATCTGATGAGATCGGGCTAGCCTGGGCTATCCAGGTCAGGGCAGTTTATTGAGTAGATAGACTAAAAGCATAACTCTGCCATCAGAATGATGAGATCTGCTTATGATGATATAATAGTTCAAATTGGTGCTTGTTTTCCCTACAATAGTGCTCACCTTGCATTGTTATGCTGCATTCTATATGACATATCTGGTTGGCAATGTAACCTGCTTGAGGGCAGAAAGGGTGTGCACTGCTTTCACCTCCTCAGATTCTTTGCACCCCCACACTGAAAGCTGAGAACAGTCCTCATACAGTTAGGCTATTCCCAAACACAGGGACAGACAAAGGAGACACATATGTGTTAATCTCTGGTAGTGCACAAACATGCCAAGAGTTAATAACTTTGTCAAGTTTTAATTTATATTTTTGTCAAAACATGCACACAAAGATGTTTTTGTTCTGGCTGCATCAAAAACTTATTCTTTAGACTCTAGCAATATACAGACCAGGGCTCTAGTCGGGGGGGAGCTCTCAGGTACGGAGCTCCGGAAGAGAACCTCTAGGAGGCGGGGCGGTCACGTGTTGAAGCCCCGCCCCCTTCTTTACCCCGCCCTCTGCTTCGATCCTCATTCCGTTTGGGAATGAGGATGAAGCAGGAGGGTAAGTAGCCGGGCCTTCTGACACACTTCCGGTGATGTCAGGGGGTGTGGCCTTCTGTCACTTCCGGTGATGTCAGGGGGCGTGGCATATGCAAATAAGTTATGCTAATGAGTTATGCTAATGAGCTCCGGCAGCTCTTTTTTTACAACAAGACCCCTGATACAGACTAATAGGGATGGGCACGAACCGGCTCATGAACCTACATTTGTGACTAGCTGGACACAGTTCGTGGTTCACAAACTGAGGTTCATGCCATCCCACTGCCACGAAGCTCCCATAACCCTCCCAGGAGGCTTTGGGAGGTTTGTGCGGTTTGTGTTGGCAGACATGTTGGCACCTGTGGCACGGCTTGGAGAAGGCATTTAAAGAGACCACGGTCTCCTTAAATGCCTTCTCCAAGCCGTGTCACCATGGCACCACATTTCAGCAAGGTAACTCAGAAGGCTTGGAGTTCACTCGTGAGTTATATCACAGTTGCACAGCTTGGAAAAACCATTTAAACGGAACCCTTGAAATGGCTTTTGCAAGCTTGGGCTCTCCCCGGATTCTGAAGGTATCATTGGTATTTCATCCAGTTTCTTTAGGCTTTATTAAAATGGTCTCAACTGGATTAGCTTTTTAAAAAATAGATGGGGAATTCCTGTGCATCTTTATGAAGTACAAACACTTCCTACTGATTTACTACAAAAGAAATCAAACCTCAGGCATGAAATGAAGAAGGAGGAGAGGTCTAGAGTGAAGTAAAGACCCGACATCATTTGTTTAAGGAGGAGAGGTCTAGAGTGAAGTAAAGACCCGACATCATTTGTTTGAAATAAACATTGCTCTTTCTTTGTTTCTTTGTTTTTTCTTTTATTTATGTTATCATCCACCTTTCTCACAAGGACTCAAAGCAGAGCCAGTACAATCACAAAAATGGGACACAGTAACTCATGCATTAGGATTTCAGAAACCTGGAACCATCAGAAAGAACTGAAGCATTAGCATAAGTGATAACATGACACATTAATGGTACAGAAATTACAAAAATAGGATCCTAGTAACAATAATTACACACAGTCGTATAGACCAACAGTCCCAACTCATTTATCCAAGGAAGTTTGTAACACTATTTTGTGCAGTGCACAGAAAAGCCCTCTGGAATAGTTCAGTTTTGCACACTTTACAGAAAGCCAGGAGAGGGGGAACTTTCCTGACCTCTCAGGCAGGGCCACTTCACAAGGCGGGAGCCACAACAGAGAAGGCCCATTTGCAGGATGGCACGGGCAGAAGCCCCTTCTGACTTGAGCAAAGTTGTTGTGGCCGTGTTGCTCCTCCTACTTGGGGTGCTCTACGTTTTTTTGAAAAAATTGGGGGGTGGGGGTGGAGTGAATTCATAAGGCTAAGAATAATTGCACGTTTACATAGCAGCCAAGAAGGTATTAATTGGGGAGAGGAGGCAGTAACCTAAATCCAAGAAAGGCACAAGAAAAAAATTGGAGGGACCGCTGAGTGAATACTTACATTAAAAAGAAGAATGTCATACCTTGAAGCTAGATATCAAACCTATCCATGTAAAAGGAGAATTCTACAGCAAACACAAAACATGGGAGAGAACTCTTCCAGACATAAGAACAAGGACAGCTGATGTCGCTTTAAGGCAACAAAAATGGGTTTCCCTTGCTTTTTGCCTTAGGTTTCATGTAGAAGGAATGAGGTTGGGGTACTGGGCTGTTTAGGTCAGGTTTTCTCTGCAGCGTCAGTTGGCCGGGGGGGGGGGGTTGCTCTGGAAAACCCCCCCCCCCAATCTTTCATTTGGATTTGGGTTTTCTTGCATGTTTGCAAATATAGCCATTTGTCCTGTCTTGTAGAGGAACTCTAACACATAAACACCTGAATGAAGTTGCTGTCTAGTGAGCCAGACCACTGGTCTATCGAGGTCCGTATGCTTTCTTCTGACTGGCAGTCGTTATCCAGGGTCTCATGCAGAGGTCACCTTTCTCGTCACCTGTTACTTCATAACTGGATGTGGCGAGGATTCTGCATGTAAAGCAGATGCTCTGCCACTAAGCTATGGCCTCCTCCCTTCTCAGTGACGCTGCCTTGCAATTCCTACAGACGTTTCGCTTAAGGAAGAATCTGCAGTTCTGCCCTGCATTTCAAAGCCGCAAAAATTTGCTGGCACTTCTACTACCCTTTGTTTACTATTACTAAATAATTTTCTCTTCTCTTTAGTATCTCTGATCTTCCTAGTTTCTCATGCTGCATTTTCAAGCAGACTGCTCACAGAAATATATCTGTCTTTCCTTTCCTTCTCCATTCTGACAACTCTTTCTTCCAAGCAGTGCTTACCTTGGGTTCCAGGCTTTAAAATCCAGTTGGTATTGAACCTTTTCAATGTGGTTTATATTTCGGATCTCATTTTCACTACGCTGCAGGTCTCTCTGTCGTCTTGGCATTTCTCACTCTGCAGGATGTCCTTGCAGTTAAATCTCATTGCGCTTGTATTCTAATTACAGTATTTGGTGTGGTCTCTTTTTTGATTCTTTCCTGTTACTCTGGTCTTTCAAGTTCTAATGCTGCCACCTCCCTGAACAACTTCACAGCTGGCTTTATTTCAGCATCCACTTTTTTAAAGTAAAGAATCTTGAAAGCACGCTTTAATTCTGGTATTTTAGTAACATGTGTTTCCTGTTCTTTAGCACAGTAGAAATTGTATCAAAAAGGGACTGATGATGGGGCCTTCACAAATATAAAAAGCTGAGCAAAATGCTTTATGTAATATAGTCTGACTCATGACACTGGGTTTGTGGCCTGATTCTGAAGTAACATTTTCTATTGTGGAGACTGTTTTTGACAGAATTCTCAAGGAACAAAACAGGTGGGAACAGGGTTGCCAGACTCCCGCAACCCAAGTCCTGAGACTCATGGTGCAGCACCTGATGTTATGTTACATCGAATACTGATTATAGCATTTGTATACATTACTTTAATTGCTTCATCATCTGTGAATATGTCTAGACACAATTATGTGACATTGAAGAGATTCACTATACACTATTTTTCTTAAAAAGTGGAAATTAATTCAAAAATGATAGCTGTCAGTTTTCTGTAGCAAAATTAAAGAGGAATTAAGTAGACTAAAAAAATTATTCCAGTATCAGCTGTCATAAGTCGGGGGTTCTGATAAATCTGATGAAGTGAGCTCTGAGTCATGAAGGTGTGTGCTGGAATGAATTCTGCTACAGTTAAGGTGCCCTGGACTCTGGTTTAACATGAAAATTAACTATACAATAAACACAAACTGTACCTGAAAGGCTAGTGCCAGATAATTGCCTCCCACCTTCAGTTCACATGTCAGTAGTATTTAAGGTTTACAGAGCAGCTACAAGCATGGACAGCTTCAAGAGAGAATTAGATAAACATATGGAGCAGAGGTCCATCAGTGGCTATTAGCCACAAGGTATAGGTAGGAACTCTCAGTCTGGGGCAAGTGATACTCTGTATTCTTGGTGCTTGGGGGGGGGGGCAGCAATGGGAGGGCTTCTAGTGTTCTGGCCCCACTGATGGACCTCCTGATGGCACCTGGTATTTTTGGCCACTGTGTGACAATGGGGAATTTCAGACAGCTGATATCTTGCGTTTCAGGAACTGTTCACTAACGGTTTCTGTACTGACAGAACCATTTTAGTAACGGTTCCCTAATGGAATATATTGACCCTTTCAGACACAAACGCTCCTGTCCCATTAGGGAAGCGTTCCTGAACTGTTTTACCTGCAAACTGCTTCCAAGTGGTCTTCAATTTTCTATACCGTTCCTGAAGTGCTACAGGGTGCTGTGTAAAATGCCCTGGAGTGTTGGACTGGAGGGGCCTTTGGCCTGATCCAACATTGGCTTCTCTTATGTTTTTATGAGAAGTCTTTTTAAAAGCCATCAATCTTGTGGCCTAGCTGAGGGCTCTGAGATTTCAGTTGGAGGCCCTAGGGGCTTCGGCCTACTGGTAGAGCATCTGCTTTGCAAGCAGAAGGTCTCAAGTTCACTCCCCAGCATCTCCAGTTAGGTGATGTGAAAGACCTCTGCCTGAGACCCAGGTAGGGTTGCCAAACCCCCCGGTTTGCCAGGAGTCCCCCATTTTGGGGGGGTTCTACCCACCCCCAACACCCACAGCCACCCATCTCTCTACCTTTAAGTGTGTGCAACCCGTGTTTCATCCCTAGCGCAAACTCCACAAGCTTGCAGGGAAAAGCCAGCTTCGTTCTTAAAAGGGAAATGCAGCTGCTCTTAAAGGGGAAACGCCGGCTGCTGGCTACTTTAACTGCAGGGAACTGCCGTTTCTGGAGATCCGGCGCACGGGCAGGTGGGAGGATGGCAGACGTCCCCAACGTGACGTCATCACGTTGGGGATGCCCCACCCCCTCCAGGAACGCCCCCAAAGTCCACCGCTGGGGGTGGAAGATGGACTTGGCAACCCTAGACCCAGGGGAGCCGCTGCCAGTCTGAGTAGACAATACTGATTTTGGACCAAGGTTCTGATTTAGTATAAGGCAGAAGAAGAAAAGAGATTGGATTTATATCCCGCCCTTCACTCGGAGTCTCAGAGCGGCTTACAAACTCCTTTTCCTTCCCCTCTCCACAACAGACACTCTGTGAGGTAGGTGGGGCTGAGAGAACTCTTTCCAGAATTGTCCTTGAGAGAACAGCTCTGATAGAACTATGGCTTGCCCAAAGTCATCCAGCAGCTATAAGTGGAGGAGTGGGGAATCAAACCCAGTTCTCACAGATTAGAGTCCACACACTTAACCAGTTCACCAGACTGGCTTCATATGTTCATGTGAATGACACCCCACATTTTAGCCTCAGGTCAGAGCCTGAAACTGGCAGCCCTACATTGGTTTGAATATCTCTATATATTTTTCAGCAAAGAGCTATGATGGGTAAATGACACATACCTGATTTTCAACTCAAATTAAACAAGCCTACCACTGAAAGTCATTATTTGTTTTAGAAGGCAGATTAAAATTTACATTGGCATTTATAATTCATTTCTTTTATTAGATTGTTATCCTGCCCTTCCTCCATGGAATTTAGGGTGGAATCTGTACTGACCACACAACGGCTTTGCGAGCTAAATTAACTGTGGGGAAATGACTGGTCCATCTAACCCAGTGAATTGCATGGCAGAATGGGGACCTGAACCCATCCTGATTTGATACTGCATGAGCTTAATGTTAATATGATGGCCTTTATAGGATTCCTTCTAGTCCATTGATCCACCCCTCATTATCTACTTTAAATAGGGTTGCCAGACTCTGGGTGAGGCCTGGAGTTCTCTCAGAATTACAACTGCTTGCTGGGCTACAGAGATCATTTGCCCTTTAGGAAATGGCAGTTTCAGAGGAAGGCATCATGTCCCTGTCAGGTCCCTCTGTTCTCTAAATCCTACCCTGTCCAAGCACTTCCCACAAGCTGGTAACCCTAACTGTAAACCAGAAACCACTGTTAATGGCTAACCACATTTTTTTCTTCTTAAAGATACACTGGTATAGAGTGTATACCACTTGTATAAAGGTATACAATACTGAAAGAACTGTGTATTTCATTTTCTAGGTATTCCTGATTAAAATATGCTAGTGTCACATCTGAAGTGCCATAGCTGTGAAAGTTTGGGCCTTACATATTCCATGGGAAGCACTGTATAGTTTGGGATTATAGAGGATATTTTTAAAAAATTCTGTTGAGGCACTGTCTCAGAGCCTTGAAAGAAGATTTATATTACCACTAAGCTGCAGTGGCTCAAGTGGTTAAGACGCTGAACTGCAGGCTGTGGAAGGTCAGTAGTTCAGCAGTTCGAGACCCGAGTTGCCGCATGACGGAGTGAGCTCCCGTTTCTAGTTCCAGCTCCTGCCAACCTAGCAGTTTGAAAGCAAGAAATTGCAAGTAGATAAATAGGTACCACTTTGGTTGGAAGGTAACAGCGTTCCGTGCGCCTTGTTGTTTAGTCATGCTGGCCACATGACCACGGAAACGTCTTCGGACAGCGCTGGCTCTTCGGCTTCGAAACGGAGATGAGCACCGCAACCCTAGAGTCGGACTCGACTGGCTTTCGAGCAAGGGAACCTTTACCTTTAGGCAAGGTTGCCAGCTGCAACCGTTGATGAACCAATGGAAGAAACAGAAATGGAATAAAAATAAACTAATATATAGGAGAAGATAAATTATACTGTATATGTGCTTTGTAATTTCTCAAGTAAGAGAATCATATAGGCTTTGTGTGTAAGACAGGGATGACTCACATAGCAGAGAATCTCAGAGACACCCCCCCCCAAGCAGATGACATGAAAGCATCATTGTCTTACTCTGCTGATGCCTGATGAATTACAGACTGAGAGTGAAGCCAGTGAAAAGCTGATCTTTTCCAAAGGCTGAGCCTGATCTCTAGAAAATATAGATTTGCACAAACCTGTTGGGGGGAGAATCCTGTAAAGGTTGTGAGGTGCCAGAGAAGTAGAGGGAAAGCGGGTAAAGAGCTTGGGCAGAAGAACTAAGTAAATATTGTGGAAATCTTTATAAATGCAAATAATGCTTCTAATACACACTAGCGTGTTTTGTAGAAGTCTGAGCATACCCAATAACAAAAATACTAATAGAATCTACCTACCTGACATCAACGGTTGTAGTGAAGTAAGACTAAAATGTGAGGGTCCCAAACTTCAGGGGTTCAAAATCTAAGAAGATAATGAGAAAATTGTGGCTGGTTATTTGATAGATATACATGAGCAGGTCTCTGCCATGCTTAGCTTGTATAGTGGTAGATCAGTCTTTTGATAGTAAGGCCTGTATTTTTAACACCACCAAGACAGGTGTTATGGTCTTGCTGATGACACAGGGCTACTATAGCAACTCCCTTATTTGATCTTCATCCAGGATAGTGACCTAAGCAGCATAGGCCACAGAAAGGCTATCAAGAATCAGGCACAAAAGGGGAGTCTTCATGGACGTGCGTTGTATTGGTTAGTCCAGAGGTCTCAGACTGAGTAGGAATCTTAAAGATAGTTTATTTGTTGTTGTTCAGTCGCACAGTCGAGTCCAACTCTTTGCGACCCCATGGACCAAGTCCCGCCAGGCCCTCCTGTCTTCTGCTGTCCTCTGAAGTTGACTCAATTTCATGTTCGAAAGATAGTTTATAGGAAGGATAATTTGAAATGTTATGTGTTTGGCATTTGGGCAGTTATTCCGTTCTTCTACAAGAAGAATGCTCACTGTAGCGCCCAGCCTCAAAATAGCACCACTCTAGCAAACCTGGAGGACCACAATATCACGCAAGGTGCACACATCCCATTCACCATCTAGATATAGTATTCCAAAGAAGGAAAAAATGCTGGCAAATTTAAAGGCCTCTCCTACTTGTGGTCCACTGGTTCCCTGAGAACACTACAAATGCAGAGTGAAG